ATTCATCATGTAAGTATCGTAAGTGATGGTTTAAATTCGTTATACTTTCTAATAATTGTTGGAATGGATAATTCCAATCAATTGTTATCGTGGAGTCTTCTAATAATTGTTGGAATGGAATAATTCCTATCAATTTGTTGGAGTGTCTCCCTTTCTGATAATTGTCGGAATGGAATAATTCCTATCAATTGTTGGAAGTCTTATTTTTTTAATTAATAGCGGGTTGGGTGTGATATATTAGCAGGAAGTAAAAAACATAAAACAATTGTCGAAACTATGAAAAGTTTCATATATATTAGCTTTGACAAAAAAAAAAAATAAAACGTTATATTTTTTTGTTAGCTTCTCCAATTTTCTTTTTGTTTGTAAGAAAGAGAAGATACAAAATTAAAATTTTTCGTAAAGTCACGCCATATTTGTCAAAATAAATCTAACAGGAAAAATGTAAAAAATTCATGTTTCACTACCGTAAAAATATACATTCACGTTTTCTGATTTATGCGTATTCCGAATGCACATCACGTAATAAAAATTCATGTAATAATTTTCATAAATCGATAAATAAAGCAAACAATCTTTCGAAGGAATTAAGAAAGGTTAAATAGTTTTTAATATCCTTTTCAAAAGGAAAAAGAAAAAGAAAAATCGAAGTGAGAAGAAATCAAATTTTCTCGGTAAGCTCCTGATCCAAGTTTATACAGGATTTTTTTTTAAAAAAAAAAATATAATAATAATAATAATTGACAACCGCGAATTCATGGAACAATTATTTAGCCCAAAGATCGAAAGATATAATCAGAAATAAATTCATTCATTTTACCTCTTATTTTTTTTTCTTTAACGATTCGATTAAAATTAAAAATTTATTGCTGTTTTACTGCGACATTAATTTTTCCTGATTCTCCTTAAATACTTGCTAAATTAAGTAATAATAAATATGAGATGAATTAAATTAAATAATATTTTTTTAATCATTTTTTTTTTATTATAAAAGAATCAAGCTTCTAAATTTTTCCCCGTACTCCCCTCCACATGCCTAAAAAGTGCTCAAATTACAAAACTTTTCGAACGCTCTCTTGATAAGGTATTTGTTGTATTAGTAGTAGTGGTTTTCCATTCTGGTTACGAGCTTACGAGCTCAACAATATTCGCGAAATATTGCCTGACCTACTGGTTCGATACCCGGGAAGTTCATTCCTATAGACAAGTATTGCCCCCAGTGCTATAACGTGATGATAAAAAATTATTTTACGAGGTCGTTCCTTGACTCTTAAGATCTAACTCCCAGCCGCCCTTAGCATGAATTCCTTACTCGTTCGATAAATACTAAGATTTAAATCTAACATTAATTTTTCTTTTTTTTTGGCAGGTATTTCTATAGCAAATGGTAGGTTCTTAATGTTCAACTTTCACATCTAGGTAGGTGTATTGGTAGCACTTGTAATTTGCCAATTATTATTTATGGGAAGTATCTTTTTTAATTTTTAATTTTTTTATATTTCTTGAACGATGGCTAGGCGAGCATCATTTGGTTTACAGTAAATAATGCACGCTTCCCTTTAGTTTCTGTGTGTCCTACATCCCTTCATTTACTGCGTTTGTTTAATGATGAGGTTAGTAATGGGTATTAGCTTTAAAAGGAGAAGCATTTTCTGGTGGTATCAAGCTAAGAGCGACGGTTTAGTACTTGGATACAGACGTTCCCTAGGGTTTGCTTATTCATCCACTTGGAAGTGTTTGCCTTACGCGTGAAAGTTTCTTCGAGGAGTTGGTCTCTTTTCGCACGCCTTTCTTTGAGGAAGCACAAAACCCGACGTTGACATTAGTGGTTTTATTTAAGTTGGTCCTTCACCTTTTCAATCCTTTCCTCCAACTTCTTCTTACCATTTTATTATATTCTACAAGTCCAAAGGATCTGAGAAAGAGAGAATTTATACCACTCAACGTACAAGAAAATGCCTTTCTAATAGTGATCAAAATAAATAATTTTTTCCACAAAGCATTTTCATTAATATAAAAAGAAAAGACCTAAATAACTGGAATGAAATCTTAAACCATCATTCGCTTTATCGTGAATATTTCCTTCTGGAAAAAGGAAGCCGAAAAGAATTCTTTCAGCGAGAAACGTACTGTGGACCGGAGCAATTAAAGAATACGTAAGATCCTAACTTAGATAGCATTACAATTAGATCTTTAATTTTAGTAATTAGTCAAAACGGTTTCTAAGGCGGGTATAATAATATCTGTCCAAGCTTTAACCGAAAATGTAGCATAAGGTACAAAATAAATCCGCAGTTACCATTATGTAATACCACCACATGGTTACATCGAATTCCTTATTTTTTACGTAAATATTTATAATTCACATATACAAAAAATTTCCAAAATTGGGTAATTAATGTTAGAATACTTTTTTTTAGCCAGCCGATTTTAATTTCAATAAAAATACATCGACGCGACCTATTAAAAGCTTTAATACCGAAAAAGGTAATAACATAATACATACTTAAACATCTGGAATGTAGTTTAATAAATGCATATTTCCACGCACTTTTTTCCGCCTCTTGATGAAACATCATGATTACATTTTTGAGCTCCCCTGATAACTATTAATTGAACTAACTAAATTCAGTATAATTCTTGATCTTCGGAAGTTTGATATGAAAATTTTCATTGTATTGCTCCATTAGGAAAAATAACGAAATTCGATAATCTGATTGGCTTATTCCAATATACTTGATTTTTATTTTATTTTTCTTTTCCTGGCATGGAAAAGAATTTTGAAGATAATAAAATAAATTATGATGTAATCAATCATAATTCAAAAAAAGGTATATTTTATTTTATTAATTCTTTAAAACCTTTTTGCGTTAATTTGTGTTCAAATTAATGTAAAAATGAATACTGCTGAATTTGTCGAAAATATGTGTATGTATGCCTATTCAGAATAACAAGAAACAATTTGATCCTGAAGAGTTTCATACGTACTGATGTTCTTTATTTCATTTGCTTCCTCCTAATCTTAGTTAATTAAAAAAAATTAATTCAAAGCAAGTAGTTTTAGATCAAAATGTCATTTAGAAAATGAAATAAAATTCTTTTTTATACTAAAAAAGATAATCAACAATTTGTTGATTTTAAAAATCTTTCAATTATAAAAAGGCAAGGATTTCAACCCTCTCTGATCATTATTCAAAAGATAATATCTTAATCAAAAGGAACAAAAAAAAAACTTACAATCACACACAAGAAAAGAAATCGAAATCATGAAACAATTTTTAGTTCTCTTGCTCTTTTTATTGGTTACACTTTCATCGGTCCATTCAATTCCCAATCATCTTCAAATAAGAAACACACCAAAGTTTACGGCATGTAAAGGAAAATTTCCGGAAAAAATCAACGTAAAACTTTCACCTTTACCTCTCGCTTTTGGAAAAACCCAGACCGTTACAGTCTCTGGAAAATTAAAGGAATTTATCTCTGATGGTACCACGTTACGTCTTGGAATTAGTAATGGTGAAGGGGACGCGATCTTCAGCGAAAGTTCGGATTTTTGTGCTGTACCTGGAAGTCCGTGTCCCGCTGGTCCTGGTACCAAATTTAATACGCCGGTGAAATTTAATTTACGAAACAACGACACACCTGGACCATTTAAGGTGTTGGTCCGTCTTGAAATTGGTGACGAAATTTTGGCCTGTTCCCATGGTACCGTTGATGAATAAATTATCGGGATGGTTCTATCACGTTTATATTCTCGACGAATTTGATATTCTTATTTTCTTTTTCATAAATTATCTTGTAACATTAATTTTATAATGAATATTTTATTTTCTATTTTTTTTTTGTACTTGAGAAAATTTTATTTCATAATTTAATAAACTTTGGTAACACAATTTTAAAAAAAAATTGTAATGCATGAATAATATTATATTCTCAAAAAGCAAAATAAAGGTTTTATTTTTATAAAAAAAAAAAAGTACGAAATTGAATAAATTTGTGCATGATCCAATAATGGCAAAGAATTAATTCAAATTTTTGAGGAGGTTAGTCCGATTATGGTCTGGCTTTTCATAATAATGAATTAAATTTAGATCTTCGGCTAATCAATAATTAATTTGTATGATGTAAATTACTACGCCACATATGACAAAACGGCGTTTTTCTGGCGTTTTCGAATATTAATTTTTTAGAGAGTAACGTTTTGAGGGATAAATCTTTTTAGATTTTAGAAATTTATATTATGTCGGACGATCAAATATCAAATTAAAAATAAAAAGACAACAATTCATGTCGTGATAATTTTATTTTTTAGCGGGGAGTTTAAATCATTCAAATAAATACACTGGAGATTAAAGTTCCGATTACAACCCAACAAATCTTACCAGTAACACTATATACAATCGCATTTTCATATTTTTCATTTTGCTGTTTTACTAAATGTATTTGTTACTATCATCAACTTCAATATAACCAGGTAATATTTAATGCAAGTGAAAATGATGTCGTATACCTAAAACACATAAATTTTCCTTTTCTTTAAAAAAAAAAAAAAAAAAAGGAGAAATATCAAGGACCTTAAATAAAAATAACGATTTTACCTTAAAATTAATTCCAAAACAAGTGGTATTATTCACATGACCATTGATTTATGGTCCATGAAGATCGTTCAAATAAATTCTTCTTCACACTAATACTGGTTTTGCATGAAGACAGCTCAATTCATTAATATATATTTTTTTTTTAAAATAAAACATTTAACGTGCTTTTAATTAATTTTTATTTGCAAACGGGCCATTTCTTACCTGATAATATGAATTATTTTGGTCATCTCGTTTAAAACTTAAGATTTGTCGATTTTCACAACTACTAATGGATGATCTGCATTAATCTAAAGTACGGCATTATGTCTTTTTTTGATGCGCAAAACCCACGAATATATTTTTGCATCGCTTTATTATTTTGTAATAAGTAGGTACTCCATTATTCCAATGAAGCATCATTCAATTCATAATCTCTATTTTTGTTATTAACGTTGAAGTGTATAATATTTCAGTTAAACTCGTATTTTATTTTTTTTTTTTTTTTAAAAAAAAAAAATATATTTACAAATTAAAACATGAAAAGAAAAAAAAAATTCTTATTTTTCCTTACCTCTTCAACACTAATAACACTAACTCCGGTTCCTCTACAGATCTATACCCAGTGAGACTCATGGACCATCTAATTATTCTAGAATTCAATATAAGTGTACCCAAATAAATATCACAGCATTATGCCGAATTCCCGCACAAAAGAAACGAAGCTTTTTTGTCGATATTGACACGAATTCGCTATAAATAAAAATTTAAATTAACAAATCATCAAAACAAAATTTATAATACTGTATATACATAACAGCAAGCTGCAACTGCATGACCAGCCCCACAAATTAAAAGTGCGATAAGATAATATATAAGATGTGAAATTGGTAAAGTCACTCCAGGAATCTTTATAAATTTTTACATTAGTTAGTTGAATGTGATTTCATAATGATGTGCAAAAAAAGCGTACTTTTGCGAGAGTTTCGAAAAATGAATTCAATTTATTTGTTTTATAACAAAGGTAAAAATACAATTGGTAGGTAGGTGGTCATTTGCATTATTTGATAATCGAGAGATAACATGATGAGCTTTATACTAAAAAAAAAAAAAAAAAAGAAGATAAAAATTGATCTAAAAAAAGGTCTTGTTCCGATGATTGGAAACTGGATTGTAATATACGAGACATAATATGT